TTTTTTTTTTTTTTTTTTTTTTTCCTTTCGGAATTTCTCCAATTAGCGAATCCCGTTTTCGACATACGGAACTCACTCGTAATCGACCGAAAGTCAGTCGTTTCAGACGGCAGTTGTTATAAACTTCAATTTCCGCCGCTCTAAAAATCATATCGCACTTAGAAGTCTCCTTCGAAAATGGAATATTGGAATTTCGGTGCCGAGCGTAATTACTGCAAGCTCGATGAATAGAAATCGATTCGCCCTGTGTCGTCGCTGAGAGAAACTCTCTATAAATTACATATCGAACAATCCCCGTTCCCTTTCTATACCGTCGAAAAGTTTTATTGAAAAATTGTGATTAAACGTGCACATTTGCATGTTTCTCGAAACGTCATCTGCTCGATGCTTTTTTTCTCTGACAATCCTTTTTACGAATGTCCATAAAAGGAGCAGGAATGCATTTGGGATGATTATACATTTGGATTATTACAGACCTGGAAAACCTAGAAATTTTTTAAATGGCCCGAGGAAAGTATGTGAAAAAGTCAAGAAAAGATACAAAGAAGGCTGGAATTTTGAATTTTGCTCATAATTCCTTTAAATGCTCTTAGTCTAAAAAGTACTTATAATTTTTTCAGCGTTTTTATTTTATTTTTTTTTTTCTTTCTGTTATAATCTGCGTTCTTTTTTTTAATACTCATTTATCTCTTGTTGATTTGAAACTTGCATTCGGAAGTTTGCATTAGATTAAATTTTTAAGATCGTATGTATTGCGTCTAATAATATAAGCTATCTTATATCCTTGTTTCTAAATGTTAAAATTATTTGTCATGGAAAATTCTCCACTCTCTGTGGTCTACAAAACAAATGGGAAAGTCAAGGAATTTCAGAATTCATTCTTTGTGTCCAATCCTAGATTAGAGTTCATAATTATTGACTAATGACTCCTAATTGGCGGTTTATCTCCATTTGAGTCATTTAGACTATAACTCATCGGGGTAATCCTGAAAATTCGGGCTCCATGTTGGCTAACCCGGTTCGAACATTGGCATAATCGGTCCCGAGGGCAGAGCCGGAGTAGAGAGGCGACGTAACGACGTGACTCTCCCAGGACGTGTCGGAGGGCGAGGAGTGAGGTTGGAATTTGACGGTAGCCAGAGAAAGAAGGACGGACGGACGGACGGGAGGAGAGAAGGATAGATTTAGTTCGGCGGGAGAGGGGTTGGAAAAGAGGGGAGAGGGACGGGCGGGCGAAGAGGGTGGCAGCAAAGGGGTGGGAGAAGTGGGGGGGGGGCGGAGATGGAGAATATCGAATGGGAGTGAGGGGTGGGTTGGCAGAAGGAAAGTATTGATCTGGCTGCTATCCCACGTTGCTGCACACCGTGTGTACACCGTGTGCTCATTGTAACGTCCGCTTTACGTCACGTTCACCCCTTTCCCTTCTTCGTGAACTTGAAGACGGCAACGTCGGTGCGTGCGACGCATTGATCCACGCAACGATCTACGCATCGATCTCCTTTCCTCCCTTCGTCGCGTTATTACGCCGTTATTATGGGTCTCCGGGTTTCCGGAGTCCCATACCGACTCTCCCCCCCTCTCTCACTCTATCCAACCCTCGGACGGCGGTGACGGCAGCGGTGGCAGCGGCGACGACGACAACGACGTGCCACTTGTGCCATTTTAAGCGAGCGCCAACTTTCGAGGGTTGGAAAGATTCAGACTCGTACCTTGAATGGAGATATCAGCTTGAAGTTTCGACTTTCTCTCTGGATTCGTGAGAAGTCGGAAGAAGGGGCGGATGTTTAATCGCACCGTGCTTGGACATGTCGTTAGAGTCGACATTCGCAATTTAATGATTTAAATTTAATTTATCTCAAATGTTGTGTCCGTGAGATTAACCGAAGTATTGCTGCAAGACCCCCTCCCCCCCCCCCGGTATTGCAAGAGAATCCTTCTTCGTATTACAGCAGCTT